CGGCCGGCGGTGGCACCCGCGCCGGATCTCTCCCCGCCTCGCCTCGCCTCGCCTCAGCTCCGCATGCAGCCCGCGCTGTCGGCCGGTGTCGGTCGGTGCTCCCCGCTCTCCCACCCCGCTGCCGCCGCCTTGGTTTTGACGTGGGGTGCGGGGGCAGGGGCGGGGGGTGGGGTGGGGTGGGGTGGGTCAACACGAGTGGCACGGCCGTCACCCGCTCTCTCCCCGCGTTTTAACTGGGGCGGTGCCTGTGCTGCGCTGGCCGCCTCTACAGCACAGCGGTGGCTCTCCTCCCGTGCCAGTATGCCACCACGGCCAGTAAAGGCAAGTCGTAACCTGCTTGCAGGCAGCCTTCCAAACGGACGGACACGCCGACTCGATCCCCCCTGGATTCGCTGCGATATAGGAGTATCACCGTCGGGCGCCGATTTCAAATTTCGTTTCCGCCGTTTTCCTTTTGATGAAAAGAGGGAGCGGGAGAGGCTGATCTCAACATTTTTCGTGTGATGTTGCCACTATGTAGGGTTTGTTTGGAATGCTGTCTGGAGCTGCCCTATCAATTTTCGGCATCGGTGCACGTGGACCTCCGCCGACTTTTCAGTAGTTGGTTCAGCTTTTACGCCACGTGTGTCGGTGAAACCGATGATGTAAATTCCTTCGTCAAATTATTGGCGCGCCCGAGTTTGTGGGGTTGGCGTGGGCGCCGATCCAAATAGACACGTATCTTTCTTCCCGCCGAGGGAAGGCGGGCGGGAAAAGGTGACGTTGAAAATGGACAAGAGCATCGCTGGCAGTTGTCTTGATGTCAACAGATAGACACGCGGGGTTGCCGTTTGAGACCCCACGGTAGACGTCACACGTGGCTCTTGTTCGAGATCTCGTGATATAGACACGAGAGTATGTGCCTCGCTCTTGTGAGGATGTGAGCTCCCCGATAGATGTAGGGCCTACTCAGTACGTTGTCATTATCTAGATGATGTTTGATCATTAAACCTGGAAAGGGTATTTTTTTTCTATGAAAAGACTAACTGGCCCAATTCTTGGTAGGTACTCCCTTTTATAGTGATTTAAACGCTCTTATATTACTTTGCAGAGGGATTACTTATTAGGGGGGAGGGCAACCACCGAATGAGCAATGATCTCTCGGTCCCACTTGATTCCTTCCTCGTGGGATGTTTTCTATTTACATTCCCCGCCTCTTAGAAAGAGCCACTGAACAATCGAACCAGACAAGTGCATGTAGCTCGACTGCATGGGTATAGTGTTCGGACGATCTATCTTGGCATGGCTGGTACCATGGTCAAAGTGGGCTTGTGAAAATCAGGTCTCTCCACACCATTTTTTCAGCATGGACCGGGAGCATGGGCGAACGTTTGAACCTCCACCAACTTTTCGATCGTCGGTTCAATTTCTACACACTACGTGTTGGCGAAACCAAGGATCTGAATTCCTCCTTGAAATTATTGGCACATCCATTTTTTGCGGGGGCGTTGTCAGCGTCATCCAAACAGACATGTATCCTCTTCTCGTCGTGAGGAGACGGGGCGGAAAAAGGTGACATTGGGAATGGACACAACATCGGCATCAGTTGTCTTGTTGTCAAGAGATATGCACTAAGGCTTTCGTCTGATATCCAGTGGTGCATGACACGTGAGGCTCTTGTTTGAGGTCTCATGGTAGATGTAAGTGTACGTAGGTATAGTGTTCGGACGATCTATCTTGGCATGATTAGTATTGGTGCCATGGCCAGAGTGGGTTCATGATGAAATTAGGCATCTCCTTGCGAGGACATAAAAGATATGACCGTTTTTTGGCATTTTAAGATCTTGAGTTTTCTCGATGCTCATGTGAGATCACCTAATATAGAAATACATCACATGAGCACTTCACATCGTGAATTGGAACTTCGTTATATCATCACACGGTTTGTGTCAGATGGATATGTCTGGCCTTCAAAGAGAACCATTTGTAACTGAAGCAACGACAGAAGCAAAACGATGACAACAACATATTCCGCTAAAGAGGTTCAAAACACTGCCACCACTAAGCATCTATTTCCCCGTCCACTCATAGTGCAGATGCATAAGTTATGCTTCTAGTGGGGAACATTTCCACCTCCCCGCCATCTCGCTATATTGAGAAATTATTTTGAAGCCCTACAAAGTTGAAAGTAGATGCAATTTATGTGCCTGAGCGCACATCATCTCGTGAAAGTCATTTTAGGGTTTGAGGATATCTACATATATGATGAGACACAAGTGTTCATAAACCACCATAAATAGAACTGCATTGGTCGGACATTCTTTTTATCATGCAACACATGGGCACACCATACACATTGTTTTAAGTCTTGTCTCGGGAACAACCAATGAGAATGTCACACAATATACCCATATAATAAGCTATACTTATATGTGAAAGCATTCATGGCTCCCTTCGTCCCTTTGTAGACAGTATTACGTAATTACTAGGCATGCGGAGAAGATCAATGTAAACTTTTTCATCATCGAGAGAGGACACGCGAGACTAATATATCCAAAGGGTCAGTTGCTTTTTCCGCTTTCCCTTTGATATGGCATGTCATCTGAGAAATTGTTCGATATTTTCTCGATGTCCTAGATAACCATATGATATGAAGTACGTACGAAAATTATAACTATCACAATGTTGCTTCATTGTGTCGTCGCTCTTTTTGTGACAAGTGGATGTACTTAACATACGAATATAACCACATATGTAGTTGCGGTCGCTATAACAAAAAATGTTCCAACAACCTCTCCCGTCGCCCGTGTGGTCAAGCTGCCATCAACATTAAACATGATTTGTCCATCCATTGGTAGTGCGTCCACATGAACTATATTTATGGTCAAAGAACTTCCAGCATCAAACCTCTTGGTTGATAGTATGTATGGAGTACATTTTTTGTGCATTGGTTATGAAAGTTAAACCTTGACATGCATCATATTGCATAGCATATATAATAGCTTACATGGTTCCAAGTGAACCATAATTGAGATGCACTAGATTGTAGCAACCTTAGTTGCACACTTAAACCGACATGCCATATATGCATAGGATTTGAGTACAGTTACATGTACGACGAGGCACGAGCAACCATAATCACAACGAGAAGATTGCATTGACCAACCTTTACACTCCACAACTGACATATGCCATTAAATAGTCCCCTTTCCACTATTGCATCACCAGCTATTCACAGGAATGTAAGGAGTTCACTTGTATAAGCTGTAATCATTGCGGAAGCACGTGTAACTCCCGACACCCCTTTAATACGATTTGTTCCGCGAGATTGGCGCGTCGGGGGGTTGGTGGACCCCAACAACTGTTATATTTTCCACTTGAAAGGTGATTGTCGGTTAACAAGGGTTTTTATAACCCAAAAGGAAACAAGGGGTATGCAGTGAGAGAAGAGCGGTACTCAAGAGTACATCGCGAGGTAGTAGATGGCAACAAAGAGTGGAGTTACATCAATCGATGTTGGCGGAGTGGAGAGACCCGACGGCTCCAAAGTTTTGCACCTTGAGCGCACCTAGGCAAGATGCTAACGTCGTCAAGCCTAGTAGAGTTGAAAATGAGGTCGTTCATGGCTTTTTCCAAAGGTGTCAGGGCATCGTAGCAAAGATTGCAAGGCCACGGGCCATTAGTTCACTGTCGGATGAGCTAAATCCCCAAAATGATCCAATGTCATCGGACATGGCAAATCATCCAATCCAACTTCAAACATGCACAAAACAAGGGCACCGCAGAACAAGTGGTCACAAGTCTCAATTGCTCTACATCCCTCATAGGGCTTAGTGTGTGGGTGGGTAGGTGCGAGGCCATTATTGAAGAACAACACAATCCATGTGTTGAGTTTGATATGACGAGAAGGGCGAAGATCTTAATCCTGGATGAGAGTCATGACCACGAAATGGAGGCACGGGCTTCCATCACACCGTGCGAAGAGAGCACATGATATGTTGCCGATAGTTGAAGGCGGTATCGTCTCCCAAAGCCATAGTGTGAATGTCCATGTCGTCCAAAACCGAGGTTTCAGAAATCAATCATACTAGTTTCTTAGTCATAGCCAACACTCAAGCTCTTGTCTGGATGGTTGCTAATAATTCGGCATGCCCGTAGCCTCTAACAGACTCTAGTTAACTTTTCTTGCCAACATTTGGCCACAGCAAACGGGCAACTATACTTTAACCAAAATATTGGCTAGCCAATTTTTTGTCTCTTGGGTTGTTGCAGTACACGGTAGTTGCTGTAGCTATTTTAGCTACAAGGTTGGATGGAGGATGGGTAGATCCTGACTACAACACTGGTTGACCTACTAAGTTTGCCACACTTTACCACACCATGAGTTACGCAAGTTTGTTTGAGCTGACCCTCTGTTTGCCTTACAACCACACTTGTGTCAATTCTTTCCATGCAAACTACACCACACATGTCATTGACTCAGAAAAATAAGGCAAGTCTATCTCATATATGGCAAAGTGTGATGTCTATTTTACTCGTGTAAGTTGTGTGTCAAGAAATTGTGGAGTATATGAACCAAATATGCCCATCAACCTTTCATGACTATTTTCATCGTAGATTTACCCAACAACCACAATATAAGCAAACAATGGTTGGATGGTTAGAAGGACCGTGCTACTCCAACCCACAATTATTCAAGTCGTTTTTCTGAATTTATTTTAGCCTTCCGGCGATGTGTGTTCAGTGAGAGGGAGCGTTCCCATCGACTACGAAGACGTCCATGGCGATTTCGTCAATCTCAAGATAATGTGCCGGCTCAGTCTCTCGAACGTGCTCCTAGAGATAATAGAGATAAGGGGTACGTGTTAGCGTTCATAAGGCGTGCGTACGTGCAGTCTGCGTCTGTATTGTATTGAAAAAACAATTACAACAACGACGTATTTTCACATATCGTTCTAGGTAAAGAAAAATAATAATAATAAAAGTAAAGAAAAATATCCTCACCATCCGTTGACGGAAGGATGCGCGACGCCGTCATCAATCTTGTGCACTTCCGCGGCCATCAATGCCTGCGCTATCTGCCTAGCGGAGTACGCAACGATCTAGCTGGCGTGCGGTTGGTGAGCATGTCCAGGTGTGGACACCACAAGAGGCCGGCGAGGCGGTGACCTGACACCTGTCTGTAGCCAGCCGCCGCCACAGTTCCCTCCCCTCCTCCTCCAAGCGGCGGCGTGCGGGCTAGGCCAGGCTCACGACCCGACCGACCGGGCTGGACACCCCGCTGTCCGCCCATGGGGACGGCAGGGCCAGGCCCAAGCCCACTCCCGGGCCCGCCGAGACGAAAAAAAAGGGAGGGAGCGAGCGCACTGCGCGCCGCCTGGCCATTTCGCACCACGCTTCCCTCGCCTCGTCCGATTTCGAAAAGAGTTTCGTCCCCAATTTCCTTTCACTCGGATTTCACCGAGCCAGCGAGAGCCCCCCCGCCGAGGCCCGGCGAGAGACGGCCGCCGAGATGCCGGGGAGGTGGCGGGTCTGGGGCCAGCCTGACGGCCGCCTCGTCTGGATCCCCGCCCCCGAGCCCGACGCGCCGCCGCCGCCCGCCGCGGCTCCGCCTCCCCTGCCGCCGGGGCGCGGTGCGGGGCTGGCCGCCGCTTCATCCGAGGACGCGCTGGCCAAAGGTACGGCCCCATCGTTCTCCCACCTCGGCGCGGATTATTCCGTCGTACAAATGGTGCTGGATAGTGGACACTGACTGCCCCCTTTCCTGTCTCCGCGTTTCTCCCATCCGAAACCCTAGGCCGGGGCGCTGCCGACGGGTGCCGCCTCGAGTCCATGGCCGACCTCTTCGTGCAAGGTATCTATCTCCTCCCTTCATCTCTTCTCTATTTGGCCCGGTCAGAGTGAGCTCGCGCGTGCATTCCTGCCTACTGAAATGGTTGCGCGCATGCTTTTAATGTAACGTTTGAACGCAAACGATTCTGTTTAGCTGGTGACTGGCTTTTTGTTACTGATGGAACCTGCAGCGCGGAACACGCTGCTCGAAGGTGATGGGATGTCCGGAGCAACTGTCGATGCAGGAGAGGGTCAGCTGTTCTGCACTGGATCGGGGAGGTCAGTGTCTGTCAGCGAGAGGGCTATAAGGAGGGCCAGGGCGTTGGTCGGGGAGGGGGTGGAGAAGGCTGGTAACAAGAGAAGTAAGAGCCTATGCGCCCAACTTTTGGTTTGCTGTAGTCAAACTGTTCAATTGTTCGTTGCTGCATGTATTGCACTGGGATGACCAGTTTTGGTGTTTCAGAGCAACCTTTTGACGACGTACCTGGTGCAGAGGGCGAATCGAGAGAAATGGACGCCCCATTTAGAGGTAAGACTTGCTTTCACCTTTTTCTCTGTAGAGACAAGATTGAATGTTGCAACAACAGCCAGAAAGTGTCCAGGTTTGATAATTGCACAAACTGTATTCTCTTGAGGTTGTGTGTTACTGATCCAGTTTCCCATCTCATGAAATTTAGGTGGAGTGCATAACACTACCGTGCCCCCAGTGTTCCAAACTGGATCCGGAAAAGCGGTTTTGCTGGGCAAGGACTCGATCCAGAAGGCAAGAGCTATTTTAGGAGGTAGGAAATCTAACACCTGTTTACTTTATATCTAAACGCTGAAAGTACTTTCTTAGCACTTATTTTGTTCATGATGGCGTATGTATGGCTCCGAGTAATTTAGGATCTGTTCATCCCATGTACCGTTAGATATTATGTCACAATTCATTAACAACAAGGACCGTGATATTATATTTGTTGAACTAGCCAGATTTTCCGCTGTTGCCTGGCTATTTGTTATATATTTGGATGTGCTTAGCTTGCTGAGCATTTATACTCCATAGTAATATACGATGACTTAACATAGTTTTATACTAATTAGGGTCCACCAAATTGATGGCTGTATATTTCTTGTTTGTGAGAACTTCTAGTAAGAGCTCATGTGTCCAACCTTTGGTTTGCTTTGGTCAAACTGTTCCATCGCTGTTGTGCTTGGTAGCATGGATTAGCTATCTTTCTGTTCGTTTCTGCATGTATCGTACTGGGATGACCAGTTTTTGTGTTTCAGAGCAACCGTTTGACCATGTACCTGATGCAGAGGGCAAATTGAGTGAAATGGACGCCCCATTTAGAGGTAATACTCATACTATGGTAATACTTGCTTTCACCTTTTTCTCTGTAGAGACAAGATTGAATGTTGCAACAGTAGCCAGAAAGTGCCTAGGTTTGGTGACTGTACAAACTGTATTTTCTTCAGGTTGTGCATTACTCATTCAGTTTTCCATCTTATCAAATTTAGGTGGAGTGTATAACACTACCATGCCCCCAGTGTTCCAAACTGGATCAGGAAAAGCGGTCTTACTGGGCAAGGACTCAATCCAGAAGGCAAGAGTTCTTTTAGAAGGTAGGAAGTTGAACACCCGTTTACTTTCTATCTAAACGCTGAAAGTGCTTTGTTATCACTTATTTTGTTCATGATGACATATGTATGGCTTCGAGTAATTTACGATCTGTTCGTCCCATGCATCGTTACATATTATGTCACAATTCAATTAACAACAAGTCATTGTAATATAGTTTTTGTTGAACTAGCCAGATTTTCTGCAGTTGCCTGGCTATTTCTTATACTTACAACTGAACATCTATTTGGATGTGTTTAGCTTTTTGAGCATTTCTACCTCATAGTAATATACAATGACTTAACATAATTCTGTACCAATTAGGGTCCACCAAATTGATGGCTGTATATGTTTTTTATGGGAGAACTTCTAGTACATTTTCCTTTTTCCTTAGCAGTTTTTTAAAAAGCTGTCACTTTGTTGCATAATAGATGTTGATAGTGCTGCTGGTGCCGTACAACCAATGTTCCGTACTGGAATGGGTAGGCCGGTTCCTGTGAGCCGGACCTCTATTGATAAGGCAAGAGCTGTTTTGGAGGGACAAACAGTTGCAGAAAAAGGTCATTTTGATGGGAGTATAATAAAAGTTTTGGATAGTTTTGTAAAAGAAAATCCAAGCACACCTTTACTTTTTGAATAACCGACCCCTCTGTCAGCAGGTGTGGACGGCATGGAACAGTTTCCATTGTTCCAAACTGGTTCAGGAAGAGTTGTCTCAGTCAGTGCGGCATCTGTTCAGAAAGCTAAGTCTGTTTTGAAGGATAATAATACAAGCGAGGGTGAGCTTTGATTATTCTGCTATTTGAATCCAGAGCTAATGATCTTGCCTAGTTACCGTGAAACACACCCCTTTTTTGGTGTACTGATGGCATTCCTCTCCTATTAGAAAATACAGAGAGTTTTGGTAGGCCTAACCAGCCTATGATGTTCCAAACTGGTTTAGGAAGACCAGCCATGATCAGCGAAAGATCCATTGAGAGATCTAGAGCTGTGGCGAATGAGGGAGATGCGGAAAAGAGCGGTAAGATTGGAGTACCTGGGTCCATTAAAAAAGCTTGAACTATCTGTCTTTTGATTTATGTAAACATCTACAAACATTATTTCTAAGTGGTTACTTCTTTGTGTAGGACACTGGGATACTGATTGCCAGTTCCCAATGTTCCAAACAGGATTAGGGAAGCCTGTTGCTGTGAGCTGGAGCTCAGTTCAGAAGGCAAAGTCAGTATTGGAGGAAGAAAAAAATAAAACAACTGGTACATAAACATATGGGCTTATTATTTATTTAGTCCAACATTAATGCAGAAGATCAGCATTTTTCTTCGTATTCTTTGAGATTCAGGACGTGGAGAAAGCAGTGATTGTGCCACAACTCTTCAGACTGAAACACCAACGTCTGTTTTGATGAGTAGCAGTTTGATCATGAATAGTAGAAGTGTTACACCGAAGGAAGATAGTGCAATGCAAGGTACTTCATTTTCCCAAGTTGACTAAAACATGTTGTCTAGTTTTGTGCCTGTGTTACCATCTAGTCAAAATTTGAACAACATGAAATACTATTTCTGACACATCTGGGGTATTCCTCATATCAAATTATCTTTTTCAGTCACTCGAACAGAGAAAAATCACAAGGATGATGACCACGTGCCATTGTTTCAAACTGGACTAGGGAGGTCAATTGCTATAAGTAAGAGCTCACTTAAGAGGGCATCTGCAGTTCTGGAGCCAAGGAATATTGCAAAGGAATTGGAAGGTAAATTGCTCTCTAAACACACATCATGGTTTCGTAACAAGTGTGCTCTCGTCACGAAATTTGTGATAATTAAGCATTTGTATTTACTGACAATCAAGTTTTCTTTCTGTAAGATGAAGCTCATTTAGATGGTGCCCATGACACTCCAGTGTTCAGAACTGGATTAGGAAGGTCTATCTTAGCAAGTGAGAACTCTAGAAAGGAATTGCCTATCTTAGAGGCTGAAGAAGCAGTAAAAAGTGGTAATTTCATGTTCTGAATTAAGAGTTTCTTCACATGGATATAAAAAGTAGGTAGAAATTACAGTCTGCATTCAGTTAACAATTGCTTTGTATGTGCAAACCAGTAAACAATTACAACGGGGAAACCTTTGTTGAAGAGGCAACGTTCCAAGCTGGAATACAAAAGTTTGTACCCCAAAATAGAATTTCAAGCCATAAGGCCAGTATGCTTTTGGAGCAACGAAACTTCATGGAGAAAGGTAGTTTTTGGAATCATCAGGTTACACAGTGGGGGCATTTACAGAGTTCTTTACATTTGGATTTGGAAAGTAACTTAAGACTTCTTTTCCCATTCCTTTGACATACGCAATATTATTTTGAAAGGATACCAAGACTCTGGAAGTCAACTGCCAATGTTTCGAACCGGATCTGGAAAGTCGGTCTTGATTAGTGAAAGCTCAGTACAGAAAGCAAGGGCTGTTCTGGAGGAACAAGGCATAAACAAAGGTATAATAGCTGACCAAACTTATCTGAGACTTTCACTGTTTATTTCAATAGAAGTTGGTATAAAACTTTACCGTGCATGTCTAGTTGAAGTGTCTATTCTCTTTCTGTAGTCCTGTAGTTTATTTGTACAATACCATGTGGCATCCATAGGTTAGCTAACCATCACAGTCTGTTATATTCATCGCTAGACTGGTGTGCTAATCCAAAGGTTCTGCAATGCTTTTTAGTTAATAATTAGACCAAGTTTACAGAAATAAAGGCTAGCAATGAACCACCAATGTGTAACCTGATTATGCTGCAGCTTTCATTTAGAATGGTACACTTATTTACTCCCTCCGATCCATATTAATTGACGCACACTTAAAGTTGTACTAGGTGTGCGCCAATTAATATGAATCAGAGGGAGTATTGCTTTTGACTTTCGAGGCAGCTATTTAACAAATGTGTGTTTTCAAGAGTACCAAATTTCAAGCATACAATGTATGATCACTGAACTGTCCAATGATCTAATCAGGCAATTTGGATTGGCATGTTGATGTGGTAACAGGCACTTGTTTATTGCATAATATTAGTGCCTTTTAATTTGTACACATTTACCATTTAAATATGTCTGATCTTGAGTTATTTCTTGTCAGATAATCATAAGCTCCTTAACATGGACAAAAAAATTCCTGTGTTTGCGTCACCTCTCAAGACAAGCTGTGCAAGAACAGTAAATATATCTTCAGTTGGCGTGTCTCGAGCTGCTACTTTGTTGGGCTTGGAGGGGAATACCCTATCGACACAATTTTTTGGACATGTGGGGGATAAGCTGGGCACAAAAATAAATTTTGAGCAGGAAAATCCAGAACAGAGGCTTGGTCTTGCATCTTATCCAACAGAAAACCAAGTGCACAAGGAACCACACCGGCCATTTGAGCTTTCTAATAACACAGTTTCTGATTCTGGTGAGCATTCTATCAGATTCAGTACCGCCGGAGGCAGATCAATGGCTATTTCTAGTGATGCACTTGAACGCGCAAAAAGCCTTCTGGGTGAATCAGATCTCGTGGTTTCAACAAATAATTTAGTAAGCTACCCTTTGGGATCTGCTTGTAATGATAAGATGCAAAATTCAACTGTTGCGCCAAAAGAAGGCGGATCTGATTTATCAAAAAGAAGAAGGGTCAGTGGAAGAACCGAACTTGCAACATTTTCCCACCAGGCAATGTCTGATAGGAAGGACACTGGATCCTTGGGAAATGCTGTATCTGATATCCATCCGACTAGTGAAAACACCAATAGGTTTCATGTTGGGAGTTGTTCAACCAGTGAAATTCCAAAGATCGTGAAACCTTCTTCCAGGTGTTTATCTGAAACTGACAACACAAATGACACTAAAGATAAGACCCGACAACTCCATATGCCAGCTGGAGCGTTGGTTGACATCAGTAACTTCATGGGTTCATATTCTGGAAATATTGACCATGTTGTTAATGAGAAGAGAAGAATTGGGGGAAGAAACTCCGCATCTTCCTTTAAACGGCCCCGCTCTTCCAGGTCCTTTGATTTGCATCCCTGTTAGCAAGCTGTAAACTCCTATGCCATGCTTCTGATATGCCTTTGCTGACAATGGGTAGGTTCATCACGCCTATAAGCACCAACAGACAGTCCTCTGCTGGTAAGCTGATTGATTACATATATAAGCCCGTCTTAAATTCATTCCTACTTGATTGGTTTAACTATTGTGTACAGGAGTACCCAAACTACCACCAACTCAGATCACTTCCTGTCGAACAAAGCTGTCTGCATATTATCCTTTTCAACATAAAAGGAAAACTTGGAAAGAGTATTTCGGTGGTCCTCCCTGCTTCAATTGTTTGGTACAATGCGATGCATATAATTTCCGCAGGTGCACTATATTCCCCACTTTGTTAAATGTTAACTTAAATCTTGTGACCAGGCGGAACATATAATAGATGAAGTGAAGCTCATGGATGCAAAAGGAGCTGAGAAGTACAAGTTTCACAATATGAATACTGGTGCAGAAGAATTTCAGAAGTTGCTGATTGCCTGTGGGGCTTCATTGACATATGCAACTAAAGAGTAGGCATCATTCTTGACTAAATGCCATATATTTCACTAGTCCATTGACCTTTTGATGTCAGAATAACTCCCCTTTTGCTAAGTTTTTCTTAATATGTGAAATGTCTGATCATTACATTTCCTGTTTCATCACTTCATGTGTTTTTCCTTTATAACATTTGAAAATTCTTTCCATGGTCTCCTCTGCATTGTATCTGTTGCTGCACCATGTTAAGATTAAACTATAATGATTCCACGTTCTGCTGCATGCCTGCATGTATGATGCTAATAAAAACCATGCTGTTGTGATCCCTGGGCATACCATAGAGTTAGGCCGGAGATTCTCCAAATATTAAGTACATCCTAAACATCAAATCACTTGAATCTTCCTGTTTTAGATGGGTGAACAATCACTATAAATGGATCGTATGGAAACTTGCTTCACTTGAGAGATGCTATCCAACTAAAGCTGCTGGCAAATTCTTGACAGTTGCTAATGTTTTAGACGAGCTGAAGTACAGGTGAGATAATTGACATGCCTTTTCTACCATTTCAATTGTATTGATGCATATGATTTAATTCATGAAAACTCATGCATGCTAGGTATGACAGAGAAGTGAACAATGGCCATCGATCAGCCATAAAGAAAATTTTAGAAGGAAATGCTTTGCCATCTTTGATGATGGTGCTGTGCATTTCAGCTATTTATTCCCATCCTGATGTAAATAAGTTAGAGGCTGTCGGGACAGATGGAAATGAAAACAGTATCGAAAATAAAAGTTTGTTAGCTGCTAAAAGAAACATGCCTGCACACATTGAATTAACTGATGGATGGTACGTGGTTGCATCATCCTTATTGTCATCAGATGAAACTGAGAGATATCAGCAGTTCTCAGTGTCTGCCTTTTCACAGGTATGCACTAGAAGCGTCATTAGACGTGGCACTTTCAGAACAACTACAGAAAAGAAAGCTTTTTATAGGACAAAAGCTTCGGGTACTATTCTGTTTTCGCTTTCTCTTCTTGTTGTCACAAGGACATGGTTATAATTATTGTTTAACATATATGACTCAATATGTGTTCCGCTAGATATGGGGAGCTTCTTTGTGTGGTTGGACTGGGCCTGTGTCATTTCATGAGGTTTGCCTGCTCCTTCACCTTTATTAGCTGCAAAAATGAAAACAATATAAGCAAATTTTTGTGACCTTTTATTCAGGCATCTGGCACCGTCAAATTGATGGTCCATGTGAATGGCAGTTATCGTGCAAGATGGGATGATCCTTTGGGATTCTGTATGCACTTTTACTACAAGACTGAATATTTGTTACATACTGTTTTGCTTATCCCTTTAAAACTGATGGATTCTCTTGATGACCTCTTACAAATATGTCAGGCAAGCATGTTGGACCCCCACTGGCATTCAAGTGCATAAAAGCTTCTGGTGGCCGAGTCCCTAGGACACTGGTAGGAGTTGCAAGAATATATCCTGTTTTGTACAAGGAGAGGTATACAACTACAACTGGATGCAGACTAAATTTTGTACCAAAGGTGTTCCACTGGCCCATACTTAATAAGTTAATTGCTTAATTCAGGTTGCCTGATGGTAGTTCTATTGTGAGATCTGAAAGGATGGAAAGAAAGGCGCTACAACTGTATCACCAGAGGTATTTATTTATGTCACTGACACTGTAGCCAATATGCTGCAATTGAAACATGCATCACACCTTAAATTGAAATATATCATCTATCAAGTAGATATTTACCAGTGCAAGTGTTGTCTTGAGAAGTTACCTGTACAAATACTGTTACATGCCCAGTGTGTTAAGGCATATATCTGTTTTTACTAATTTTTGACCGTAATGTTATACATGGTTTATGTACTGGTGACCAAGGTTGTCAGAATCAGGGTACTAGGTAGTATCCTTCTTTAGTCAGTAGTATCTAATCTTAGGGTCAGATTGTGTAGTTCCATGATACTATATGATTTCTTTTATTTTGACAAAAAAATCTGAATATTATAGGAAAAATACTTACATAGATTATCTAGTCTAGTTTTGTAAAAAAGATATCAATTCTATGCATGCACACTTAAAGTAGACTGCAGCATCGAGATTTCATGTGACCAGGAGATCATTGGGCTTTGAATTTCAATCTATGCATGCATGCAGGCTGCAGCCCGCTGCTGCACATAGCCAATGACTTCACATTGTGCGAATCCGTGTTTTTTTTTTGTTGGCATGGGCAATTCCAGCAATTTTACGAGTTTGATCGTCCTACTGTGATCCTACTGGATTTGATTCAGGTTACTATCCAATCGTTTCCTCTCGATAGGGTCATAGTATCGTGTGATACCCTAATCCTTATCGTGATACTGGCAGCCATGCTGGTGATGGCTATGGTAACCTGTCGATATTATTTAACTTTTGGACAGCATTTTCCTTTTAAAAAGAATCCGCGTGAGCAGATATAACTCATGTTGCATAGGATCATTTGAATGCATTTCAGAGCCCTGAAATCGCGCAAGTAAAAACTTGTACTCCCTCTGATCCAAAATAAGTGTCTCAGCTTTGAACTAAGGTTAGTTCAAAGCTGAGACACTTATTTTGGATCGGAGGGAGTAGTAGGTTTTTCGTCGATAAAGCCTGCAACATGAAAGGTCACAGACACGAAGGGTCAATAGGGTTCCTTTGTTTTAAATCTAGTACCTCTCCTTTTTAATGCCACTGCAATGATTGTTACGTTCTCATGTAGAGTATCTAAGATCGCAGAAGACATTATGTCTGAACAAGATGAAAACTGTGCCAGCACTGATGACAGCGAGGAAGGGGCGAAAATTTGCAAAATGTTAGAGCAGGCGGCTGAGCCTGAAGTTATGATGGCTGGCTTGACCTCAGAGCAGATGATATCTTTCTCATCTTATCAAGCAAAGCAAAAGGTATGCACAATTATCCCCCGCATCCACCAACTAGTACTTGGGAAGCTGCGAAGTTTATGCCATTATATTTCAGGAAGCTAGGCAAAACGAAGTAGCTAAGAAGGTGGAAAGTGCTCTGGAAGTTGCTGGCCTTAGTTCAAGAGATGTTACGCCATTTTTGAAAGTGAGGGTGACGAGCCTTGCTCACAAAATCTCTGCTACAAATACCATCAAAAAGGAAGGGCTAATAACAATTTGGAACCCTACTGAGAAGCAGGTATGTTACAATTTTTATTCTCCGTTGAAAATAGAAGAAAGACTATTCGGTGTTATGTCATTGAAACAAACTACAAATGATGCATTTTATTTTTTATGGCTATGGTGCTGTATGTTTTCTTGACCAAGACTAATGTTTATTACTCCCTCCGTAAACTAATGTAAGAGCGTTTAGAATACTAAAGTAGTGATCTAAATGCTCTTATATTAGTTTACAGAGGGAGTAACTTTTATTTGCTTTGGATTATTCCCCAAACACTGTACTTATGAGCTCTCAAAAATTAGCCTAGACCTTATTACATTTCACTGTTTCTTCACACAGAAAGCTGACCTGGTGGAGGGACAAGTCTACATCGCCACAGGATTGCTGCCTTCTGCCCACTGTACGAATATTCTTTACTTGCATGCTAGAGGATCATCTACAATGTGGAAGCCATTAGCATCGGCACAGGCTGCAGATTTTCAGTAAGAGTCCACTGCACAGTATCCTCTGATTGTATTGTTCAAAATTAACCACGCTTCTTATTGCAGACCATTTTTTACCCCACGTAAGGCGGTTGAGCTGTCATTGATTGGTGAGGTACCACTTGCAAGGTTAGTCTAGTTATCCTGGAGAAAGGTGATCTGTTGAATCTGTCAATCTGGGGTCAATGCATTAATGAATCTCCTAATGGGTAGTCTTTCTTGCAGTGAATTTGACATTGCAGGTGTTGTTTTGCATGTCGGCGATGTTTACTTATGCAGCAACCAGAAAAGGCAGTGGCTCTTTTTGACAGATGGATCTAAATTTATCTCGGCATCGCAGTCCACAGAGCAAGATGATTGTCTTCTAGCAGTTAGCTTTTCTTGCTCATCTGCCAGCGATGATGGTGCCTTTTTCAGTTATGCCCTTTCTGGAAATACAGTAGGTTATCTCAGACTCTGGTCTTTACCAAGTTGATGGTTCTTCCAAGTCTGAATTTTATTGGTCCCATATGTCACCATCAACATATTGAAACCTTTGCACTAAATGATACCTCATGTATTGCCAGCAAAAGAAATGCGGTGTCTACTTCATTGTTCAACTTTTATACATTTATAAAACAAGTGCAGCTTTTAGTTTACTGTACCTCTACCTCTGTTGCTCAGGTTGGTTTCAGTAACTTGGTCAAGCGACAGAAGGACCAGACAAGGCGCATATGGGTAGCCGAGGCAACACAGAGCTCTACATACACTCTTTCCCATGAGATATCAAAAAAATCGCATCTTAAGGAAGCTGCAGCATGTGCTGAGAAATGGGCTCCAAGTTCTTTTGATGTAAGTTTCTTCAGATTAGAGATCACATTCATTTTTGAGATTTTCTGATCTGTTGTAACTCACTGTTGTGCTGCAATATGAATGACCCCTTTCAGAAAATCCAGCAGCTAAAGGAAAGAGTTTTATGCATAATTGGTGATAGCGGTGGCTGACGTACTATGGAATAATGAAGGCTGCTGCTTTTGGAAGTAATGTAAGAAAATGTTCGAAGTTGTGCAGAGTTTACTGTCCACACTGGATGCTCGTTGGTAGTGAAGTGATATCGGCGTAACAAAGATACCTATTTATTATGCCTATGCACTTTACAGGTACAAAGTTTAGGCCACACTGTTTTTAGCCGTTTTTTTTTAATTCTCCATAACCACCTATTTGTTTCTCCACATTTGCCAACTGCATATTTAGTACTCCATCCATAGTGATCTAAACGCTCTTATATTTCTTTACGTAGGGAGTAATTAAATACCTGTGTTGCAGAGATTGCGAGGCGGAGCAGTACAGATCAGTTAAACTTGTGGAACAAATGCGATTACGACTGACAAGCACTTGAATACTCAAGATGACAGCCACAGGGATTGGAATCAATATACATTAACCGGGAGACAAACATGACAGGAAATTTATGATTCAGGCTTTGACTGATGATGCTCACGTCCCCCTCGTGAGTCGTGACTGAATCTTTGGCTCTTCAGCTGGCAGTCAAGATTGCTCGCACCCTTCAACTTCAGCAGGTCTCCTTCCTCATGGACAGCCTCTCTATCACGAAGATGGCTGCTTCCAGGAACATCAGCAGCAGCAGATGCAGCATAGCATGGAGATGTTGAACTCCAATTAGCAGCTTCCTTCAAGACACTCATCCGCAACATCATGCTGTTATCATATTCTCAGAAACATCAACGGCATTGCCCACGATGGTGCCCATCAGGTTCTCAACTCTAGATTAGAACCTGCCCTAGGTTGTACTCATTTAGCTCATAGCATTGGCATTGCCATTCTCTGCTTCATCCGCATAACTTCCAAATGGAGGGCTTTGTAATTCACGTTGTACTTTGCAAATGAGATGAATGATATCCTGGGGCTAGTTGGCGCCTTTCTTGTGTTAAAAAAGAAGTATTCTCCTGGAGTTTTGAGCCCTACCCTTATCTCGGATGTCATTCTTGTCTACAACAAGCCCTTGCTACCCACACCCCAATTTCTCATGGATTACCTTGACAAAGCATCTGGTGAATGGCATGCCTTTTATGCATCCCAAGCGAGCGTGAACGCCTAGTGTCTCTGTTGTAGATGACCCTGGCAGCAACCATGCCGCTACAGGCGCGTCCTATCATCATGGCAAGGTACCACTGTGCTTGGGCAGTGTACTTCTAGGAATCGGACCCTCTAACATAAAGGAATCGGATCCTCTAACATAAAGAAGGAAAGTCATGGTGCTGCATTGCTAGCCTAGTGTAAAATGTAGAAGGGAAGTTAGAGATTGTTAGTAGGTAGTTAGCAGGTAATGTGAACCACATTGTTGTAAAAACATAGTAGTGATCCACATGCTTGTTTATGGATAGGAAAAAAAACATAGTTTCCACGGTAATCTAAACGATGCATCCAAATTGGCCAGCTGCTTGAGAGTTTTGTCAGCAAAACTAACATCTCAGTCTCACTTGTGAGCGCTGTTACTAGCCACAGATTAAAAAAATGTGGCAAGTCAATATTCAGTACCATCCAACCAGCCAGCATTTTAGCATTTGCTAAAACAAAAACAAAAAAACCATACCATCGAACTCAACACAACGTATACAAGTAGTGAGTGTCAAAATCTTAGACCATTTGGAAATTCACAAATGTTTCACATTTGCGAAAAACAACACGATTAATCTTTTTCTTCGCGAAAACAACTGTTTTGCATCAAATTATAGATTTCTTCCAAGAGTAGCTTCTATGTTTTTTTTTGTTTGCCACGTGACATGTACTTCCCATGCCGGAAAATTTCAACGTTTATGTAAATATAAAGTTTGCCAAACCTAACTTTAATTTTGTCACAATATCTTAGGCATATGTTTGGTCCACTACCACATATTTGGCTTGCCACATTTTCTTCGTACATGGTTCAAATGTCGCAAGCTCAATTTCTTGGCCAAATATTGCCATACTTACAGTAGACATTTTATCCGCCACACTTTTTGTGGCAACCTCAACTTGTCTAGAATTAGTTGTAGCAATGTTTGCTAGCACCAAACATGCCCCTTTGCAAAATTTTGTTATGGGCTTGCTTCTAAGTTCTTGCTCCTTTTGCATTTCGGCTAAAAAATTATTTAGGTATTTTAACCTCACCTCAATAAACAGATTTTGGAAGCATACGAGAATGCACCTCAAAACATGTTTCTTAATCTCCTTCCATTTCTTGAAACCTCTTCAAAAACTTTTGACGCGCATTGGGGAGCTTTTCATTGTTGTTTCAGTTCGTACTGTTTTATATTTTGCATAGAAAAGCATCCGTAGATATTTGTACCTTCTTAGTAATTAGAGTAGCATTTTGAGAAAACACCTTCACCTTTTCTTGTATTCCTATTTTGGGGCACCTTCAATATTTTTTGACACACAGTGTTGCCTTAATTTTTGGACAACACTTAGTCAGTGCCATGTGGGGCAAGCCCCTGATCGTCCACCTCCCCGGTCGCCCGATCACACTTAAATGTAAGATCTAGACCATTATCATTGTAGAAAACCTTACACGCAACATTTCCTCATGTTTATGCAACATGATCGGAAACTTGAATAAATCCATAAGGCATATAAAAACATATAAAATGTTGCAACATTTCAAATACGTCCTTGCAACAATTATTTTTAAGTATGAACATATCCCCATTGGTCGTAGCCATTGTCGAGAAAAAGTATCACACATATGCAACATAGAAAGCCAAAGTTTGCAACAACGCAAAAAACACTTATGCTACATAAACACAACGTTCATGTTATTGGTAGATGACACCAAAGAATCATAACACACATGTGTATGCAGCAAACCCAAAACGAGCTTGTAACATGTCGAATGAACATACACAACATCAACCCCCATAATCACTAACCTTTCACCGTCTACATTTTTATCCCTAAGACCCTAACTTCGCCGCCTCGGGGGCAAGTGACGATGAATCTAGCCACCCCTTCCATTATCCAAGTCAAGCTTCCCCATGACTTCATCTATAGCAATGACATTGGAGAACACCAATAGGCAGAGTCAAAGAAGCAATGTAGGAGGAAGAACCACCAAGTAAAAGCACGAGAGATGAAGGAGGATCTTTGTAGGGATCACACAAAGAGGGCACTAGAGAGGCACGCAAAAGAATGTAGAGAAGGAGAAGAGGCAGTGAGCTATAAAGCATGAAGGATGAGAGCGTGCAGACGGGGGAGGAGGGGGGGGGGTTTGTTGGGGAACGTAGCAGAAATTCAAAATTTTCCTACGTGTCACCAAGATCTATCTATGGAGAAACCAGCAACGAGGGGAAGGAGAGTGCATCTACATACCCTTGTAGATCGCTAAGCGGAAGCGTTCAAGAGGACGGGGTTGAAGGAGTCGTACTCGTCGTGATCCAAATCACCGGAGATCCTAGTGCCAAACGGACGACACCTCCGCGTTCAACACACGTACAGCCCGGTGACGTCTCCCATGCCTTGATCCAGCAAGGAGAGAGGGAGAGGTTAAGGAAGACTCCATCCAGCAGCAGCACAACGACATGGTGGTGGTGGAGGAGCGTGGTGATCCAGCAGGGCTTCGCCAAGCACCGCGAGATATGAGGAGAAAGAGAGGTAGGGCTGCGCCAACAGGAGAAGAACTTCGTGTGTTGGGCTGCTCCTATGCCCCACTATTTATAGGGGAAGAGGGGGCTGCGCCCCCACCTAGGTTTCCACCCCTAGGGGCGGCGGCCAGCCCTAGATCCCATCTAGGGG